CAAAAGCTAATGTAATAATTTCTAGTTTTTTCTATGACAACAATTTCACAGCCACTTAGGAAAAATTACTTGGAATAAGAATAATTCTAATTGCCTCAAAATTTTATCCTATACTAAGACATTTTTTATATATTGAATGAAATAAATAAATAAATTATATTAGGAAAAATGACCAAAAAATTTGAAATGACAAAATGGGCATGCGACTATATGAATGACCAAATAGACATGAGATATCAATTTGAAATTTTGACAATTCGGTAGAAAAACTAAAATGCCCCTGAATCTCTCTGAAGACATGAATAGGTGGTAACTCTCAATACGAAAATTGTAATTCACATTACAAAAATTGTCATTATCATTACCAGGGTAGTAAAATTGGCTCTAAATACATGTTACTTGGGTTTGAAATAAATGTTGCAAATGACAATAGCGAGATGGTAACTCTCATTAAAAAAGTTGTAATTCACATTATAAATATTGTCATTATCATTATTGGGATAGTGAAATTGGTTCCAAATACATGTTATCTGGGTTTAAAAGAAACGAGTTGCAGATGACAAGAGCAAGATAGTAACTCTCATTACCAAAATTATAATCCACATTACAAATGTTATCATTATCATTACCGGAGTAGTGAAATTGGCTCTAAATACGTGTTAGGAGCATTTAAATCTTTGTACCGAATTATCAAAATTTCAAATTGATATCTCATGCCCATTTGGTCATTTCATATATTCGCATTCCCATTTTGTCATTTCAAATTTTAACAATCATTTTTTGGTCATTTTCCCATTATATTATTCATGAATAGTGCAATTTGCTTTAAATTTTATGTATATTGGATAAACTGTTTTATTATATATTAAGAGATAAGTTACATTGTGTACAACTTATAAATATTACTAATTTGTTCAAATTTTATATTATGTTTCATGTGAATGATCTCTTTACCTAATTTATAAAGATTATGGAAATAAGTTAAATTATTTTTTTTGGTAATAAATGTGTCGACATTTGACGATAGTTTTTCTAGAAGAGCACTATTATTTATTGGACTATTGAGTTATAGTCATTTAAATTTTTGAAAATGATGCATTAAATAGGGACTCCTTGAGAAAAATAATTCATGTGATAAGCAAAATCAAATAAGATTTTATATTAAAAACCAAATCATAATTTTAGATAAAATTTTATATTTAGAATCAGATGGAATATATTCGTATTATAATCGAAGCGTACTCAATGAATTAAACACGAGTACCCTTAAATAGGCCACGAAAAGGAAGGTGATGAGTGTGGCGTAGGGCCTAATCAAGGGCATAAAGTCCCTTACTCGAGGTCATTGTCCCACAAGCCATTCTTTCAAAGAATGAGAGCATTGAACAATTATTGATTCATCCCATGTTTCGCTCTTCTTTTTCTAGTGCTTTCCCATGCCTTCGTCCCCTTGTCTTCTTCTATCTAATCTAAGTATATTACATATAAGAAGTTACTTTAATTGGAATTTGGATCTTTTAAATTGCTCAATTAATGATGTTTGATCTAATTAAAAAAAGTTGTATGAATGATATTTTAAAGTATATTATTTTTTTAGTTCATTTTTTTAAATAATTCAATGTCATCGGATTTCTATTGAATGAAGATGGAAACAAAAGATGATACTACCTCCGGTCCTAATTATAAGATTTCGTTTATATACTATAAATAAGATCTTATAATTAGGACATGAGATAGTATTAATTAAATGAAAGAGAATTAAGTGACATATTTAATTAAATGATGATGACGAAGTGAAGGATGTTATTCAGAACAGTGGTAATAAACTCGAGCGGATGATAGTATTTTTTATGTTCAATATTTTCACCCCTACTTATTTATTTTCAATCGAAACAAATTTTTTTACAAATTTTTATTTAGGATGAGAGAAAGTATCTTTTTTAAACAAAAATATATATACACAACATCATGGGACAATAAACAATAGAGTAATCAGAATGAAGAGATAAGATTTCTTCAATTGAATTGGACAGTTGTCATAGATTGCACAAAACCAAAATTTTTGGCATTACCTTTTGGATGATTTGAATTGCAATGTGGAAAAATGTGTGAAACTTTTAGTGAAGATAATTGTTTGATTTCACTTGAAGAATAAGGAAAGTTCAGTTGTGGAAGGATTCATGAAATGTTTGGCCGAGACAATGAAAAGAAAGAAACTTCACTTTAGAGTTGTAAAGAGAGAAGAATATAAAGAGTCCAAAACGTTCTTAATGGTAAGCACTTGTTATTTCAAGTCCTCTCTAATATAATTGCTTGTCTTCCACGCACAGGACATGTCAACAACATCATCTCTAGCTACTGGGCTTTTTCAACAACTAGAGACACTCATGTATTTGTACCAACTTAAATTATATTTCTTCCGGTTTTGAATACAAGAGTTAATTGATAAGTTTATTTTGATTCTAAATATAAGATTTTAATTCACTTCATAGATAATGTTTAATCGAGTCCATTGAACAAAATAGAGTGTGAAAGAGTTTTACGGAGACATGACGATCAATTCCTGAAAGCCTTTATGCTAAGTTTAGACAATGATAAGGCTCTTTGTGTAGAATTATGGGTGTGCCTGATGAGCTTCAAGCGTGCTTGTGCAAGCAAGCTCTTTGTTACGCCAAATGTTTCATTCTCTAATAAATGAAATTATCTAACTTTTACATTTAGGATAGAAAAGAATATTGTTTACAATTTATAAATAGTGAAATTCCTATATGGTGTGTTCGTATTTATATTATATTGATATCTAAGCATTGTTACGGTAATTGATGGTTAAAACACAATATACTTTGATAATTATTGAAGAGTGATCCAATTGATAAAAATGTGACTCATTCTTATTAAGGCATAGGTTTAAATTTTGTTATTGATATAAAAATGTCATTGATGAGTGATCTATAAGGACTTGCACTCTAATCTTAACGAATTCGTAGGATGTGGCTCATTTAGATTTTTCTTAAACACCCAAACAAACACACTTTAACATAATACTACATTTAGTTCTTAATATAAGACTTAAATAATTAATTTGAAGAGATTAAGAAAATTAATTAAGCTGGTTAATTGTGACAAAATGTATTGACTTCCCTAAACTACTATTTTTAATCATATGTATTGAAAATAGTTTTTTGTGGAAACTCTTTACAATCAAGAAGGATATTTTAGATAAAACATTATAGATTTGGGAGACAAAGTTAATTGAGCTCTTATATTTAGGACCAAGTCAAATTCCAACAAGCTTTTATATTAAAAATAATATACAATATTTTGAAGCATACATTTTTTTTCCAAATATATTACATAAAGTTTGAGAAATGCTTTTTTATTTGTGAAGAGTATAATCTGTTATACATTTTTATATTTTATATTGATGATAACTCTAGAGACACAACTATTAATTGTTGACTATGTAATTGAATACTAGAAATCTGAGCTTGTTTTTAACAAATAGAACTAAAATGACTTAAGTTTGTTGAATCTATCGCATCTTGGTGCATTTTGCTATTTATTTATTTTTCAAATGCATCTTTCTAAGAAATCACATTATTTTTAGGGGCATCTCATTCATTACTAAATGGTTGAATTCATGTGTTATTACAAACATTGATTTTTTTTCTTATTTCAAATAAATATATTTTTATCAATACATTAATCTATTATATTGTCAAAATTGGTCAAATTAACTTTTATTGATATTTTGCTTGAGAGAGCTCTGCCTTAGTTGAGAAGCAACTTCCTAGGGCACTTAAACTACATGTCCATTATTAATTTGGAAAATCAAGTTTTTTTGCTTATTGGATGACCCACTTGAAATTTCTTGTTTTGGATCTTTTTAATATGGATAATATTAATTGCTTGTGTCAACAAAACTATGATCAACCACACAAACAACATAATTAAAGAAAAGAATAAAAATCGAAAACTAGGAATTCTTTTAGCCAAAGTTGAGATGAAGTCATCATCCATAAGGCTTAGTGATCAAATTCATGTTTTTGCTCTAAAATTTGAATGTTATGGCATAAACTATACACATATGGGAGTTGACATTTTTTTTGTTGCTTTGTTAATTACTAATTAATATATAATTCAGATTCCCAGATATTTGAGGAATGATTAATCTTATTACCATTATGGAGTCTTGGTTATCAATTTAACTTTCTGGCTATTTTATTAAAAGTCTAGCTTTTAAGAAAAGTTGAAATTAAGGCAGTCTCTACAATTAAATCCGTGACTTTTTTTTATTTAACTGTTTATTCCTTAAAAATTATTTTATCATTCATAATTTCATATTGAGGTCAGAAATTTCACTCACACACAGAACACATCCTATGACTTAGTCCTGAATTTTTTTCCTCAACACTTCATTTTAAAGTTCTTAATTTTATAATTTTTATCAGTTGGATTACAAATTTTCAATAATTCATTTTGTTAAAAATAATTCCAGTTTTTAACAAAACAAAACAAAAATCAGAACGATCATGTACATGCAACTCCCAAAAACAATAGATCCCCCCCTGATAGTAAGAATCAATCTCATATCTTACAAGAATGTGAATGTTAAGTTTCGCTATGCATGTGAAATTCGGATAAAATTTTAGAACTTAACCCAGCAAAACTATTGGTAATAAAAATACACACACATGTATAATAATTAAAAAGATTGTGATCATCATTTTATAATATTATTATTGAGTAGCTTTAATTAATTGTCTTAAGACCTAATAATCACCTTCTTATGGTGGATTTCATCAAATAGCACTTCTTGCAGAACACGTTAACTTAGAAAATTTCTAAAAGGAAAATGGATAGTTACCTGATACAATTTCTCTGAAGGCATGAAAGGCAAAACATAAGATCAGATAGCTCAGAAGCATTAAAATCTTTAACGTTTTGCGCAGATTTATGTTTTGAAAAGTTGTTAAAAGCTTCTGAGAAGAATGGTTCAGTTTCTGGGATAATCTTTCTTTTTCTTTCAAACACAGAGGAAGATGCCAGATCAAAGACAGTTTGAAAAGAAAATTAAAAAAAAAAAAAAAAAGCAGAAGAGAAAAAACCCTTCATTTGAAATATCGGTCTCTGTACAAAAGAAAAAGAAAAGCCTACCCATCAGTTCTTATTCCACTTCCAGTTCTTAAACACAGAAAACAAAGTCCCATGTGCTCCGTTTCCACCGTCTTCTTCTTCTTCTTCTACATCCTCTCCCTCCCTCTCTCTGCTTTCTCTCCATCGGGCCCTAAGAAACACCGATATTGACATGAACACAACTAACTAAGCAACACATCAAGACATAATTCTTAAATATGCAACTTGATCCTGAAAGTATCGGTGGTTCTTGGTGGTTTTATGTTTAGTACAATGTGAAGGGGGATGAACCACCAACTTGGGAAGCATTTGTTGACCTGGAATACTTGTTGGATGAGGAAGGGGAGGTGGAAGCAAAGTCGGCCGATCTTCGTCGGAGCATCTGCTTCATGCCATCAGCGACATGAACGGCGGGGTTGGATTTGAAATTGCGACAGAAGGACATGTGAGCTTTGACAGCTTCATCCATGGCAGAGAAGGGCTTTTTGGCTCTATTAACTTCATCTCTCACAGCTTCAGAACAGAGGCCACAGAGCCATTTGCCATCAAATTTGGCCTTGACCTGGGAGATGTAATCTTGGGTACAATCCTCTTTCAAGCCACAACACTCACACTTGGCAGATTCAATCTCCATGGTCTCTGGTCTCTGGTCTCTGTCTTGTTCACGGAAAGCTTAAGAAAAAGAAGAAGAGGATGGTGAGAAAATTCAACTTTGTGAGATTAAAACATGGATTCTCTTTTTGTTGGATTTTGGAGGGCAATCATGTATTCTCTCTCTCTCTCTCTCTCTTTTTTTTTTGGGACCCTATAGGAATTGGTGGGTTTCGGTGCTTCAAGAAGTAGGAAGCGTTTGATTTTGCTGGATGGGGTTGGTTTTTATGGAAAAAGAGGAGGGAGGGATGGTTGAGTTTGGCTAATATTATATAAATAACATGACTCTGCATTCTTAACTTCTTCCAATATAATCATGTGAGAATATGCCTTAACATGGGTGAAAAAGTGTTCACGCTTATTTACTCAAAATTTATTAAAATAAAATCATAACAAAAACACGTAGATAAACAAGAAATATCACTAGAGTGCTAAATTCCGTAAATGGAAGAATCTGATCCACTTTACTTTCATTTTTTCATTTTACTTAAATTTTGATAAATTTTCCCATATATTGAATGATGTTTTAAATAAGTCATGTTGTCTATAAGTTATGAATAATGCAACTTACTTCTTACCCCAAAAAAAAAAAAGTATTTTGGCTTTATTTTTTAACTAGGCAGGTGACGTCTTTTTATACATTGCACATGATATAAATAATAAATAGCCCCAATTGCCTAGGTGTTATAAGTGCATCACATAGCCTGACCAAACACAGGGTCAAGAATTCTACTTTTACCATGGCATATGCATGGATGTGAGCTTGGATATGTGTGAGATATTTTTTTAGTAGCAATCTGCAAGTAACAATCAAATATCAATGCTATGAACTTTTATAAGATTTTACTTTTCCACTTTTTTAATATTTTTCCCAATCCCTATACATTAGACACTAGCTTACGCAAAATCTAATTGTTATAATTTTAATTTAGTAATGTTTCAGAGAAAGAAATATTATACTCCTCCGGTTCTAAATATAAGACCCTTATACAAGTGTGTATAAAGATTTTATATTTAAGACCGGATGAGTAGTTTAGAAAACCAAATTTAAAAAAATAAAAGGGTCAAATCAAAATGAAATGTGATGCGAAATTAAAACATCAAAATAATATATATGCATATGATCTTTGGTATTGAAAAAAAACCTAATATTTGTGAGAATTTATTATTTAAAACTAATAAACAATGCAACTCAGCTCACCTCATATTTGTCAGGTTTTTCTTGTCATCATGGGCATAAAATCCACTTAAATAAGATTAACATAGAGAGGGACAGGCGAGATTTTAAATAAAAATAAAGATCCGAAAATAAAAATGGTCAAATTAAATCAAATGAGCAAAATGATTTAGGACTTGTCTCGATTGACTTATAAGTAGCTTTTCAACCGTGATTTACAGAGTATGAGATAAGTATGTAAAGAGAATTTTATCTTGACTTACGTGAACTTGTTTAAAAGTCTATTTTGAACGAAGCTCTAAACAAATTCTTAGTTTTTCGGCTAAAAGTATATATATTTTAATGAGTTAAAATTACACACAGGTAGAGAGAGAGAGAATAGGGAAGAGTGCCATAATTTCCTCCATGTTCCAAGGGACATGAGGCAGTGGAAAATAAGACAAAGGTGGTCGGAGGGCCCTCCCCTCTGGCGCCTCATCTATATTAAAAATCTTTTTATTGATTACAATATTTCTATTCTTTTTTATAAAAATTGTAATGAATAGAGTTGAATCTTTTCAAGTTATACTATAAAATAGGTCTTATAGTTAGGATGGAAAGTTAGGTTTTGTTTTAGTAATTTATCATCTGAAACCATGAAAAGATAAAATTTGAGACACATCAAACATTATAAATATAGGTATTACCGTGTATTTAATTAAAAAATTTGTTTACAAGCATTTGTAAATATTAATTAAAAAATCCATATTGAAATTAGATGTGATGTTACGACAAGGGATTATATCTTTTAGGATGTTGATGCCTTTTTTTGCTTGTTATAAGATGTGTTTTCAAGCTTTCATATTAGTTGAGAACGTCTCTGGAAATGTGAAAATAATTATAACAGAAATTTTCAACATCTTAAAGAATAGAGTTGTCAATTGCATTATCCTCACATTATTATGAACTCTCATTTCATTGCAAGAAAAATTGATGTTCACATTTCATAAAACCCCACCTTTAAGAAATTTAACTCTTAATTGCAGGTGTTAATCATGCACAATCATAGAAGTGGGTCAATCTAAAATGAAGTTAAATTTTGTGTCTGTGTGTGTGTGTGTGGGGTGTTACCATTTTGTCAAATTAAGACAAATTGATTTACCACTTGTTTTTGGCTCAAATAATGCTTCCCATTATAGTGGGTGTGGCCATAATTAATCTCCTCTTGACTTGACTTAAGATCTTGTATAATTCTTCATTCATTTCCCCTCCCCCTTATTAAAGGCAAAAAATTTTAAAAATAATACAATACTAAGGTTAAGGTGTAAATTTGCTCCCAAATTTTCACTTAAAAGTGTTTGGTACCCAAAAAATTTTCGGGTTCAATATTGCCCTGAAATTTTAAAATCGTAGCAACGTTGCCCCCTTCCATTAAAAATATTAACAGTCAATATCAATATTTTAGTAGTCAACTTTAGTTTTTTTTTAATAGTAGGGAGCAATATCGTTATGATTTTAAGCTTTCGAAATAAAATTGAACCTAAAAAAACTTATGGGTACTGAGTAAAAATTTTCTCAGCAAATTTATACCTTTACTCCAATATACTACCTCCAGTCTTAAATATAAGAATTAGTTGACTAAATTGAGTAGATTAAGAAAATAAGTTAAGTTAGTTATTTTTAAGAAATATGTGTTGTCTTTCCTAAAATATCCTTACTAATTAAGTGTATTAGTTAGAACTAATATTATTAAAACGACTACCTTAGGGAAAAAATACATAAATATGAAAGATAAATTAAATTGGAGTCTTATATTTAGGACCAAAATAAAAGTCAAATAATGTCTTATATTAAAGATCAGAGATAGTATAATATAATATAAAGGATGAAAATGAAAGAAACTCAAAGCACATGGCAAGGAAGACTTGGTTTGTTTGTTTGATTATCTTAATTCCATGAATGTTGAGTGTTGACTAAGCACTTTTGTCATAATGTCCCTATAGTTGGTTCATGTGCATTAGCTTTGTTTACTACAATCAACATCATGACTATAAAAATCTTAATTCTAATAAGAGAACAAGATTTAGATTTTTTTTTTAAAAAAAAAATACTTATGATTGATCTGTTCAACTTTTTCTATAGCTTCAGCCGTTGATCTTTTTATTTTAACTGAACTTTTGTCGTTATAATTTTATTAAAAAGATAATAGCTAAATATTGTATTTGATTATTCTAATGATATTGACAAGGTTACTAATTTAAACTAAAATTGGTTAGACCACATAGAATTGTGAAGTTTGTATTCTACCTTATTCATAACTCATTGATAAATAAAAGTCTATTATTACCTTGCTACAAGAAGGAGCTCAAGCACAAGGTTTTAAGTTTGAGAATTCAAGTCCATGGAAATTGAAAAAAAAGAAACAAGAAACAAGAAACACCTTTGAAAAAATGATTTTATGCTTAGAGTCCTAGCCAGTTCGAATCCGAAAATGAGTCCAATGTAGTTGTGGATAGTGAATGATTTGTTTTTTAAAAAAAGAAGAAGTGGTAGTTGATTCAAGAAACAGCAAAATGATCCCCCTTTTGATATCATAATCTCATCTTTATCAAGAGAAAAGATAATTTAAGGAATAGTCCTTCACTGATTGACAGTTTCACCATATATAATATGAGTCTTTCAACTAATAAGGGTTTTATTGAGTGAATAATATATATACACACAAACACAGATGAAGGTGACAAAACAATAAATCGGCAACTTGACTATACAATGCGATTTTTTTGGTACAGTCTTGCAAGTTGCAATAATGCAACTTACGGGCTTAATTTCTTGACACATCAATCACATTTATTTCCTGTTTTTCTTCTTCTTTGTACAAACTTCTAATGTTTTGGTCCAAATTTCATCAAATTTGATCCTTCCCCGTCAATCTCCCAATAATGTTATACTCCTCCAATCCTTAATATAAGACCTATTTAACTAATTTGATTAGATTAAGAAAATTAGGTAAGTTAGTTAATTATAAGAAATGTGACATGTTTTTCCTAAAATACTATAATCATCTTTCTTAATACCCTTTCCCCCTCTTCTACTTGATTATGGTTGAAAGAGTATCTATAGGAGTAATTTAGAGAAAATTGATAAATATGAGAAATGGGTCTTATATTTAGGACCAAAATCAACTTAAAAATTGGGTCATATATTAAGGACCGGAGGAGTATTTCATTTATTAATCCTCATCAATTTAGATCTTACATTGAAAAAAGTATATAATCATTACTTAGGAAGTTAAGAGATACTCTTTTTGTAAATAGAGCAATAAGAAAAGAAATTTTTTTAATCTTATTTATAGGGCAGAGGGAGAAAAAATTTTGGTCCTATTTATTAGGTAGAGAGAAAAACTTTTGACATGAATGTATAATTTTACTCGTCATTTATTATTGTATTAGATTTTGTTCTCATGAGATATAATATATATTAAATATAAATAAAATTGAAAAGTTATTAAATTTAAATGAAAATTAATGAAGTTTAAGATTCTCTTTAATTTGTGTAAAACATTGTAAGTGACTTATAAATATGACCAAATGAGTAACTATCAGTTATTTGGATTGACCAAAAAAAAATTATAAGAAGAATTGAAAATTGAAAATTATATAAATAATAGTTGACAATGAAACGTCATACTGAAGGATTTAACATATTTCAGACAACCAAGCAATAATTTACTCTCTGAAAAACTCATTCAATGCAGCTTTGCCTGTTTGTCTTGACCATTCAAGTTAGCATATATAGCCAAGAATGCAAGAATCTAATCAACACAGGCTCAGGAAACAACTCCACCCCACTTCACATTTGAATTTATAATGTGTGCGTATATTCCTTTTGGTGAATGGTTGTTACTGTCTTGGTTTTTTCTCAAACTCTATCAAATTAAATCTCTTTCAAGATTTCAAGGGTATTTCTCCACACTCATTTTTCAAAGTTCTTTTTAAAAATATCAAGCTTAAAGTCGTTAAAGCA